AAATAAAATCTTAAAAATTTTAATATGTCTCAGTTTAACAATATACACAGGATAATAATAGGATATTATTCAGCCATGAAAAAGAAATCCTGTCATTTGCAACAAAGTGGAGGAACACAGAGGACATTATGCTCAGTGAAATAAGCCAGGCAGAGGAAGACAAATACTGTATGATCTTTTATGTGGAATCTACGAAGAACAAAATCAGTCACAGAAATGGAGGGCAGAATGGTGGTCACCAGGGGCCGAGGGCGGGGAGGTGGGGAGATGATGGTTGTAGAGTGCAAGCCTTCAGTTTAAGATGAGTAAGTTCTGGGGATCTAACATACAGCGTGCTGACCATAGTTAATAATACAGCATTGTGCACTTGAAACGTGCTAAGAGAGTAAATCTTAAGCATTCTCATTACATACACTCAAAAACGGTGACTATACGAGGCAATGAATGTGATAATTAACCTGACTGTGGTAATCACTTCACAAAGGATACAGAGATCATGTTGTGTATTTTAATTATGTACAACTTTAGTTGTTAATTATACTTCAGGATGCTGGAAAAAGATCTTGAACAATTAACTTTTGCTTTGCTGGTTCTCTGTTGTATACTGCGTTTTTTTTTCTATTTCTATTTCATTTTTTTTTCTATTTCAGGATATCTTTACTATATCCTTCTATATTCTTGATATTTAATATACTGGTCCTTTTCTAACTTCTTTGTATCGAAGCTTAGATCATTGACTTTTAAGCTTAATTTTATAAGAATTTAGACCCCCAAATTTCCCCTAGAGCACTGATTTAGCTGCATACTACACATTTTGGAATGTCATTTTTTGCCTTTGTCCAAGTATTTTGTAATTTCCCTTGTGATTTTTCTTTGACTCATGAGTTATGTTGTGTTATTTATTTTCCAAATATTTGTGGTTATTCTAGTTTCATTTAGTTACTGACTTTTGGTTTAATTCTCAGAAAACATGTTGTGTGGTTTCTACCTTTTTGAAAGTTGGTCTATTCTGTTAAATAGTCAATGTAAACTAGACAAATTCTGTTCTGAAGAATGTGTTTTATATATGTCAGTTAGAGCCTATCGATTGTGTTGCTAAAAAAATCTCTTAAGTGCTTACTCTTCTATCTACTTGTTCCTTCCGTGGTATGTTAACTTTTCTGTGATTTTGGATTAGGTTCTTCCCCCTTTTAGTTCTGACAATTTTTGCTTTATGTATCTTAAAGCTTTTTAATCAAGTGCATGCATGTTTAGGATTTTTACTTCCTCCTCCTCAATTGACTTTAATCGCTATGAAAATATGTCTCATAATATTTCTTGCTTTATGTCTCCTTTTTACATTAACTACGCCTGCTTTCCTTTTCTCCGATTGGTATATCCTCTTTCAAACTTTCAAACTTAAAGTATGTCTTTTCTAAACAGCATATGGGCTTGTTCGAGTAATCTTGGCTCGTTCAGTACAGTTACAGTTAATATAATTACTGACTACTTTTGGCAGGCGTCCTTGGTTTGTCTACAGTGCTCACTATAAACCTAGGATGCACAGATCTGTGGGGCATGGCTTTCCAGAAAATTGTTACATTAGCCATGTAATTTTGGGCTTATAAAGGAGAAAGACCATGACCTAAATAGTTCCTTTGGTGTAAGTGATGCCCCGTACGCACGATATGTCATATACGTCTGCAAGGGCCTAACGCAGCAGGAAGATGCAGGGAGTGGTGCAGGCCGTCCTAGATTCTCAGTGATCCATGTGTCCTGAGTTTACCTGCAGCCTTGCCATTGGTAAAGCTTGGTAAGGTTAAGATTTCTGACTCTTGAGAGTCTGATTTGATGATCTGACTCTATTATGTCAGTTCTCTGAGTGGTTTCACTGCTTCAGTCCTTGGCCCCCCCAGTTCTCTCAACCGCACCAAAGCGAGCCCTGCAGAATGTGAATGAGATCACGTGACCCCTCTGCGCTACTGGCTGTCCAGTCAGAGTAAAAGCCACAGCCTGCAGTGACCCCAAGACAATGCACCGTCAGATCTCCCCATTTCTTTTCTGTTCCTCCAACTCACCACTGTCCTACCTCAGGGCCTTTGCACTGTCCCTGGCCTGAACTATCCACAGCAGCTGGTGCCTTGTCTCTTCCAGGTCTTTCCCTTCTCAGTGAGACTGTCCCTGACTGCTCTGTCTGAAGTTGTGTGGCCTCTCCAACACTGCATACCAAACCCCCGTTAGCCTGATTTGTCTTTCTCTGTAGCTTTATCACCTTCTCAGGCATAATTGATATTTATTTATTCATTGATTTATGGCTCTCTTCAAATAAGAATGTAAGCTCTGAGTAGAGGTGTTTACCTATTTTGTTCACAGCTATATCCACAGTACTTTTAGCACCTGGTGAAGTAGGCTCTCAAATATCTGTGAAATGGATGAATGAAATTTCCCTCTGGGTATGGTTTTGACTGCATGTGTACATTTAGTACCTTTTATTTATTTTTAATTGAAGCAGTTACAATGTGTCAGTTTCTGATGTACAGCATAATGTCCCAGTCATGCATATATGTATATATGTTTTCATATATTTTCATTAAAGGTTATTAAAAATATTGAATATAGTTCCCTGTGCTACACAGAAGAAAATTTTTAATCTATTTTTATATATAGTGGCTAATATTTGCAAATTCCAAACTCCCAAACTTTTCCCTTCCCACTCCCTTTCTCTGGTAGCCATACAATTGTTTCCTATGTCTGCAAATCTGTTTCTGTCTTGTAGATGCGTTCATTAGTGTTCTTTTTTTTTAAGAGTCCACATATGAGTGATATATGGTATTTTTCTCTTTCTGGCTTACTTCACTTAGAATGATCATCTCCAGGTCCACCCATGTTGCTGCAAATGGCATTATTTTCTTTTTTATGGCTGAGTAGTATTCAATTGTGTAAATATACCCCAACTTCTTTATCTAGTCATCTGTCAATGGACATTTAGGTTATTTCCATGTCTTGGCTATTGTAAACAGTGCTGCTATGAACACTGGGGTGCATGTATCTTTTTGAATTAAGGTTCCCTCTGAATATATGCCCAGGAGTGGGACTGCTGGATCATAGGGTAAGTCTATCTTTAGTTTTTTAAAGAACCTCCATACGGTTTTCCACAGTGGCTGCACCAAACTGCATTCCCACCAGCAGTGCAGGAGGGTTCCCTTTTCTCCACACCCTCTCCACCATTTATCGTTTGTGGACTTTTGAACGATGGCCATTCTGACTGGTGTGAGGTGATACCTCATTGTAGTTTTGATTTGCATCTCTCTGATAATTTTGAGCATTTTCTCATGTGCCTATTGGCCATTTGTACGTCTTCACTGGAGAAATGTTTATTCAAGTCTTCTGTCCATTTTTGGATTGGCTTGGTTTTTTTTTTTATTAAGTTGTATGAGCTGTTTATATATTCTGGAAATTAAGCCTTTTGTCAGTCAAACCATTTGCAAATATTTTCTCCCTTTCCAAGGGTGTTGTTTTGTTTTGCTTGTGGTCTCCTTTGCTGTGCGAAGGTCGAGTGTAACTAGGTCCCATGTGTTCATTTTCGCCTTGTTCCCGTCGCCCGGGTAGCCTGCCCTGGGAGACCTGCTGAGGTTTGTCCGAGAACGTTTGCCTGTTTTCTTCTAGGGGGTTTTTGCATTTAGCACTTTTTAGAAATCAGACCAAATGTTCTGTAATCCATTTTTATTTCCTATGCCATGAACTGTTTGTGTGTGTTTAGAAATTCTTCAGTGTGGCCATTGTGGGTAGCTTCTCATAGTTGATTTTTAATTCTATTTGGATTAGCAAATAATGCCTTAATTTGCTGCATTTTCCTTTATGGCCTAGCTCATGTTTCAAGTGTATCTGAAACCAACGTGGGTGCCTCATTTGTTGAATGTGGCACATACGTCATCTCGTTTGCAAACTGTGATGTTCAAATTCTCGTGTATCTTCATCTGACCGTTCATGGCTAGATTAGTGCCCCAGTACTATGGCGTCTGGAATTCAGTGTAGAACACTTGCACACAGACCCATCGGTGTGTTAACAGAGCGAAGACTGTGTGTAGTCAGCATTCTAATGAGGATAATAAATACGTAATGACCAGTAATGACCATCTTGCTCCTAAGCTCTTCAATTAATTCCACCAGCGACCAGCATTGTTGCTGAAAGTAATGGGGCCAGCCGAGGCTTCTTAGAATGACTGAGGTTAGAAAGGAGCTCTGACTGACTACTTAGTGGCATTAAGGTATGATGGAGTTTGGACATTAGTTCAGAGCACTCCCCACCCCTACATAAACAAGGCCAAAGACTTTTTCTAGCAAGACTCTTGGGTGGAGGGCCGCTCATGGTGCTAGGAGGAACAAAACCCTGCCCCTGGAATACACACAACCACCGTGAATAAACTTTCCAGCAAGATGTGAAACTTCATGAAAGACGTGGCTGGACCACCTAGAGACAGCACCTTGTTAAGCTGACGGATGGGTTGTAGGATGCTGTGTGCCTGGTTGGCTAATGAACTGTTTAGTATCTGCACGCGCTGCAGAATCTAGACTGGGATCCATTTTCACTACTGTCTGTGGGCAAGATTGAAGGAGCAGCTGATCAATACCTAAAACCTGGTATCTAACAACAGAAATAATCGGGTTGTTGTGCATAAACCAGGTGCCCGGCCAGGTTCCGGGGCCTCCATGACTACATCTGTCTCCTCAGGGACTCACCAGCCTTGGGGTCAGGCACTGACCCACAGCGCAGGGAGGCGAGCACAAGCTGTACGGTGTGTCTTCCGTCAGTTGTCAGTACGGAGTATTGTTCTTTGTCCCTTTCAATGTTTTCACCTTAAGTCTATTTCAGCTGATACATATATAACATGCGTATAATTTTGCTTGATGTGTTTTCTTGTGCTTTCTGTTTTTTCAGAAATATTTCTGCTATGAAATATATGAAGTATATGAGATTAGAGAATGTAATAAACATTCATGAAGGCTTAACACACCTTAACACAGTATTTCCTTCAGAATTTTATTTTTCAAAATGACCAGAAGACTTTCACAGGTAGAGGTTTGTTTTTCAAATGCCAATCTCTTTAATATAAAAAACAATATATGCTGGAGACTTGGAGAAACGTTTTCACATCCGTTTTACATTTTGTTTTCAGCTCTGACATATTTTATGAGAGGATGTGTCACTGGAAACGTCTTAGCCCACGTGCGCTGCGGTAACAGAATACCACTGAGGGGCTTTAAACAACAGAAACGGCTCAGAGTTCTGGCACTGGAGCTCAAGGCCAGGTGCCCGTATTTGTCGGGTTCTGGTGAAGGCCCCCCCCCCCCGGCTGCTGGGTGCCGACTCCTCACTGCCCCCGCCAGGCAGGAGGAGCTGGAGCCTCTTAACAAGGGCGCTGATCCCCGACCCGAGGGCTCCACCTTCACGACCTGATCACCCCCAAGACCCCAGCTCCCACCACCATCACAGTGGAGGGTAGGATTTGAACATGAGTTTTGGGGGATGTAAATATTCAGACCATAGGAGGAATTTTGAAAATATAAGGCTATTAAGTAGGTATATTAAGCCTAAGCTGAAGCTCGCACGAGATGATGGAAGTAAAATACATCACGTGGAAGAACTAAAACAATACGCCAGAGGGAGCCAAAATAAAAAGGTAGGGAGTGAGGAGGGCTGAATGGAGAAGGAAAAGACTGTAGCTTTACTAAAAAATGTACTTGTTCACATCTGTAAATTGAATGCAAATTTCCCTGAATTCTGGAACTGTGATACTAAAATAGAAGTAACTTTGGTAAATAAATCATATGCCAGAGTGGAATTTCAAAACGTTTCATATTCCTAGCATCATTAAAAAACTAAATCTCTGTCAGTACTACCTTAAAATATTTTTTGTCAGAAATATAGTTTTGGTAATAAATCACTTAATAAAATTATATATAATCTGATATGCCATACATATGTAATCTTAACACAGTAATATGAATACTCTTTATGGTATATTTTACATAGGAATATAAGTTATTTTTAGATTATTTTAAAAAGTGGTAACAAGTTCACAGGATTTAACTATCTACCCAGTTAACTCTAGTGCCCACAACCCATATTGCACAGATACAGATTCCCTGTGAGCTGGTCAGGGTCCCTGCAAAGTTCTCCAGGACGCAGAGGTGGCCCCGGGAGGTGCTGGTGGAGTGAGAGCTGCCTTCCAGCTCAGGGAGGTTAGGGGAGGGGTGGGGACGGGGGCAGATATGGAAAACTGAATCGAAAGTTTCCGATATTGTTAAATGGTCCACCACCCTCCCTTCCTCTAAGAAATGTTAAAAATTTTTTAATTGAAAGTCTCAATCTTCAGTAAAGTTGTCTTTTAGTACATTCAGTCAAGAAAGCTTAATTCTCTTCCTCTATTTTCCAACTTTATCACCAAATATCCTGAAGATACCGTTTTTCTTCTTTTAAAGTAGCCAATGTTCTCATTGCTTCTAGTTTCTCAACTCCAACCTCTTTGCTTATTACTTCCACAAGGGCATCATTCACATCCTTCGCCATATTCTTAGCGTCTCTACAAAAAAGAACAGCATTGATGTTCAAGAAATGGGAATTTTTACCAAATCCTCCTGAATTCACAATCTCATTGCTGGTGGCTCCACTATCACGACACCTCAGTCCTCCCTCCGTGCATCTAGAAAGTGTCCCACAGGCCTCCCAGCCTCAGTCACCTATCATCCCTGCAATGCCAGGCCTTCATGGGGACCACACTGCTCATGGCTCAACATCCTTCAAGGGCGTCCCTGCTCCGGGAGCAGCCGAAATCTGTGTTTGAGGACCTCACAACCTGCCCCTTCACACCTGTCTTCCCTCTGTTCTCAAGGCACACAGCATGACTTGCACTCCTGAGAACAAGCTGCCTTTACACCACTAGGCCTGCACATGCATGCTCACATGTGCACACGCAGTTACTCACAGACACATTTTACTGAGCACCTGCTGAGGGCCTCAGCTCTCACTAAGAGCTCTTCCACGTCCCAGCTCCTTCACCCGCAGGACGGGCGAGGCGCCCCTTCCCAGTGCGCCTGCAGCCCCCAAGCAGCACCTGCCATCCCCGAGCATCTGCTGACTGGCCTTTCCCACGGAGGGGGTGGTTTGGGGTGCGGAGTCTACCTCCTTGATGTCCCGTTTCTCTGACATCCGTACAGTGCCAAAGTGCTCAGTACACACTCGTTTGTTTGTTGAATGAATAAAAGTGTCAGACAGCACTCAAGTGTCAGAACTTGAGCTTATCCTGTCACTTACAATAAAACTTCCTGAGAAGATCATGTATAAAGAAAGGCTGTCTCAACTTCCCCATCACGCTCTCTCAACGACTCCAAGAAAGCTTCTGTCCCCGTGGCCCCTCCCCATGGCTCAGGGGCTGCCAGTCACTAAACCTACTGGTCCCTTCTCTGTCCCCTTTTTACTTGACTATCAGCAGCAAAGGCTCCCCCTTGAGACGGTGTCCCCGGGCTTAGGGACAAGTTCGCTCTTTTTGCGTGGCTGTTCCTTCTCAGTCTCCTTTGCTCGGTCCATGTTAAAGTGAGTGGGGTTTCCCTCTGAGCCCTCGCCTGACCAGCTACGAACCCTACCGACTTCACTCCAGAGGGGTGAAAACAAAGCACCAGTTATGGTAAGGAGTTATTTCTGGGTTAATGTTTTAAGAGTTTGGATGTTTAAGAAATCCTCCAATTCTCAATTACCAGTTTCTGATACATCTGTACGTATGTATTTTCACAATGGACTTCAGCTCTATTATTACAGGTGCATCTAAGACGCCAGCCTCTGACACTGACGGCACTGTCCTTCACAAACAAAACGAAGACCAAATACTTCATTAAAAGTGAATGAAAACGTAAACTGACAATCTCTGCCCTTTAAGACCTAAAGCAGTGGTTTCTAGCTGAGTCACTAACGGGTCGTGAAATCAACTTAGTACCCACAGACAGTTTTTTTTTTAATGAAACAAACAAAGCAGAAGTCATCAGAATGTGTCATAAAGAATTAAGTCAGAAAAGTTCGTTCTTGTTTCAATTATACTTATAGGTCATTATGCCAGTATTTCTTTTTCTGTATCACAGCTTAAAAATACCCCAAAACTTGACTTGGTGACTTAGTGAATGTTTCAAATGCCAGGGATCTATTAGAATAAAAAAGAATAATTCTTTACTTCAAAACTCCTTTTTAAAAATCTAGCAAAAATTCCTTGAGTTCCATTAAAACGAGCAGCCAAGATCCTAACATTTTTACTCTCTTTGGTGATCTCAGGTTTCCATAACGAATGCTTCCTCAAAAAATAAAATACAACCTACGAATGACTCCTGGCTATGCCCACTCTGACATTACAAATTACGCGGTGAAGAAAAAGAATCCCAGATCCACATTCTGAGTCAAAACCAAAGCTTTTCTCCTTAGCTAGGTCAACTGCACAAAGCACACACTGCGACACAACAGCATGCATCCTGAAACTCCAGGTTAAAGGGTCACCAGCTTAACACGGCATGACTTTTAGAGCCTAAAACATGTATTTAAAGCAGCACAGACCACTCCCCAGTGCATGACTTAATTTTCACCATTTTCCTGGTAACAACAATTTCGTGACTATTAAACGTATGTTAAAATCATACCAGAATTTGTATTTCTATCCCTGTCCTTAAGAATCAAATCTTTCACCCGTACGTGTCTAGATTATTAACTGATCGGCCCTGTTTCTTTAGCAAGCATCACCGACCGCCCTCCCCTCGCCACCTGAGCACGTGGCCACTTACCCACACACGTAAATATAGCCATTCTCGTGAAGAAGGACCCTCGCCACCTGCTTGCTGTGACGCTGGATATGGTCTTGCACGTACTTCACTGGGGCTTCCTCCTCCCCCACACGAGCATCTCTTGAGAAGGAAACTTTCAAGTGAGTTAGAATTCCACACTTAAGGAAATGTCTGAGCTCTTCTCTGAAATGCAAAACATACAGGTCGCTAGAAGGTTTGTAACTTAAAGCTGAAAAGGTCTGAAATGAGAACTGCCCACTAGCAGGGAAAATACCTGAATAAATAGTCCCTGTCCTTGTGTCTGCAGCCAAAGAACAACCACGTCGCTCCGAAGCGCCCGCCCAGGCGCTGCTCTCGGAGTTTCTCCCTACGTGAAAAAGCAGGTTGAGATGCTTGATAGAAAGAACAGGTAAAACCAATCTCTGTTTGGTCAGGAAGTATCACTGACAAACCCAGATGGGCCTGCAGAACCCACCTCTGCGGTCACACAAAGTCCACTTACTGAATTCACCCCTTACCACCTGCGGGGAGCCTGAGCCACTGCAGCAGACGCTGAAACGAGCTGGCTGGCGAGCCGTCGTCACCTACGCGCTTTCTACGTCATCTCTATCATGGGCTCATTCAAAATACCAGTGTGAAGCCTAACTTCTACATTAAATATTAATTATAATTTTATGAATAAAATTAACTCAAATCATAAAATGGAAAAGTGGCTGAAAAGGTAGGATGACTTGCTGTGAAACGTTTCAGAAATAATGGCCCCTCCAAGGATCACACTGAGTGTATCTGCCATTACCTTTTTGCTTTAAGGAAAGAAATAAAACAAAAGAAAGTAAAACAGCAAAAAAGACTCTGTCCAAAGGGTACTGCTACACTGTCCAGGGAACATTACATAAGAATTGTTATTTCACAAGCAGGAAGAGAAGCACAATTTCATCTACTTATTTTATATCAAATAGTTGTGTTCTGATACAAAGATACATGTATTAATATCATTCTGTTGAAAATTACTGGTGTCGGGGGTTTAACTTTGAAACTTGTGGTATAACTGGATCTCTGTTACTGCTGACTTCATCCAGTTAAGGAGTAGCTGACATCAGAGCAGCATCAAGGTGTGCCTGAGATCTGTCCCCAGCTACATGCACTATAAACCACAGTGCAGTGGGGGGGGGGGGCGCTGGGGGGACAAGACGGGACATAGCACCGCAGTGGAAAGGGACGTTTCAGCACAGAGCCGCATCCCCAGAAGATACATTTACTTCTCCCATGGGGACAAATTATGCTATCACACACTTGATAATGATTTTTTAAAATAAAAATTTTACAACCAAAGTCCAATGTTCTAAAAACTACCAAAGAAATAGAAAAGTCCTCTATTATATTCCCACCCAGAATCTCAAGGGGTACATTTCTCACCAGCCAAAGAAAGCACATACCTGTGCTGCAGGAAACCAATGAAGGGCGCCACGCCCGCTCCTGGTCCCACCATTATGACAGGGGCGGAGGGGTCATTCGGTAAGTGGAAAAAATTTGTCGTTCGAGGAGAGATGGATATCTGAAATATTAAGCCAATGGTCGTAAGTTCAAAAAATACCTAGACAAAAACATATAACCAAGGTGATCTCTGCTGAAGAAACCAGGAAGTACGACTTCCCTCAAAGAAGCATCATAAAACTAAACTGCAGCATTAAATCTCACTGAAACCACAAACACACCTGTCAACACAGAGAAATGAGTCTGTCTCACAAATTTTTCTTTTCTATCCAAGTCAAAGGTGTTTTAAGAATGATACGCATGATATTTCTGAGGAAGAACACTGAATAAATAATAATCAGATTCTTTTTCTAGGCCCAAGAAAAGGATCTGCTTCCTAGTAGGCAACTGATTCTATGCAGCATGAAGAAATGCACAAAAAACAGACACATGACCTTTCATGTTAGGACATGAAGGACAATGAAGACTGCCCTCGAGATGGGGAGATGGCTTTAGGCCCAATCTGGCAACCAGAAGGGGAATTAAGGGGCTGCTCCGAAGATGTAGAGAACTGGGCTGTATCTGTTACTCTAGGTCCAATGTGATTTGTGTTTTGTTGCAAAACTAGAAGAATAAGTGATAGACAGATAAGCAAAATCTTTTGGTTACAATTTCGAAAGGTTTTCCTTCTAAATCATGTGCCAAGGATGCCCACAAGTTATCAATTTGTAAACACGTGTATCTTCCAGTGCCTGAGTGGCACTAACAGTCAAGAAAGACAGGAATCTTTCCCACATTCCTCGCCTGTGTAACTAAGTATTTTAACCTCTATTAGAGAAAAATCGTATGAAGTTCATCAACAGGATGAACACAGTACTTTCTAAATGAAGAACTGGCAGAGCTGTGTCAAATGGCTATGGTTTCATTCTCGTTTTGGAATGAAACTGTGATTAACATCACATTAGCCTGATTCACTTGATTCCTTCCCTTACTTTCATAGGAAGGTACTCAACATGACAAGCAGTACAACTGAAAAATGAACAAAACCACCTCCATCTTTGTGTGACTTACATTACATGGGTGGAAAAGACAATAAACACACATATATCTATGGACTGACAGGTAGTGGTAAGTTCCAGGAAGCAAAAGAAAACAGGATGTGAAGGGTGCGGCAGGAAGTGTTAACGAGAGCTCACTGCCGTCTTCCAGGCACGGGCGGCAAGGAGACCAGACGCTCACCGCCGGCTCTCCCCAATGGCTGCAGCTCTGCACCACGATCTCCTCCACCTGGATCCAAACCCGAGGAGCACCCCTGACCTGGATCACCCCACCTGACGTCAGAGGGAAAGGGCAAGGGAGGCGAGCCACATGCCACGCCACCTGCTCAGAGCTCCTGCTCAAAGGTGACATAATCCTGCCTGCTCACCCCTCACTGCCAGGGCTGGTCCACTGGCCAGGCTGAGCATCGGTGAGAAGGGAAGCCTACCCCCTCCACAGCAGGGACACCTGTGAACAACTGTACTGTCTACCAGCTGGGGGAGGGCGTGTGGCGGACGGATCGTGTGAACGTTAACGTGGTCTCCACTTCCTAATGAAATACAGTACTATCAGCACGTTGAAATTTAACTAATTTTAAATTGTATCCTTTATATAAATGGGGAAGGGAGGATGGGGGGAAAACGCGTGAAAGAGAATGCTTACTGTTTGTAAGACGTTATCAATATGCTTTTGTGTAACATTCTGGAGAGCATCTGCTGTGATCATGAAGTGACGTAATACTTTATGTCAGTACTATAGTGTTTCTTTTCAAAAAAGAAATCTCCCAGGTTCTCAGTATTTTACTAATGCATAATAATCTAAGAGTCCAAGGGCCACACACAGCAAAGCACCTGTTCCAGGCAGCACACTGGGAAAATACCAAGTTAAAAGGCAATTTCAAGCACTAATCTTCCCTTAAGCCTCAACTATATACCAGAAATCTTAATCCCCACTAAGTGCTTTCAACTTCAGTAACTTACAGCAACCAAACCAGTAGTAAGATAACACTACAAATGATGTGTTCATTTTTCAATACCATGGAGACTTCATGATAAAGACTGATATTTTTTTTTTTAAATTTCAACCATCCTCACCAGTGAGGAGGGACAACAGTAACTGGTCCCCAATGTGTGGTCTCTAATGAGATTCTACCAAGTGTAGATCAAAATACAAAATAATACCACGGCCCTGACAAAAAGGGAAGGAACAAGGGCAGGGGAAAATCCTACTATTCATAGTTGAAAGACATAAAATTAATCTTCAGTTGTCAACTGACTGCCATTTTAAAGTGACTTATTCGGAACACAGGATACAGACTGAACGTAAGATGAGCTGTTTCGCGTCACCCGACTCTTCCTGAGCCAATCTGCCAAGAATATTAACAGAAAAGGTCTCCTCCTCCACGACTGTGACAAGCCAGGAGGAAAGACTATTATCTGAAATCCACACGTTACATATTTAGAAAATACAGACTACTTAACAGTGAGTTAAAGTAATGTTTCCTGACTTTCCAAAAGAGATTTTAAAATTCAAGTGTGGCATAAATTTCCTCTGAAACACGCTGACGGCAACGGACAGAGCAGGAGACACTCCACTGCTGTTTCTAACCAGGCAAACGGCATAGTTTCAGTGATCCCGAAACCGCACACTTGTCATACCTGGGGAGCCAGGGCCTCCTCGCCGTCTGCAGGGGGCGCACGCGTGTTTGGCTGAAGCATCGATTCAACCAGCGTGGCCAGCCAGCCTGTGCACACGCCCCTGCGCAGGATCCCCGCTGCGGAGTCAGACGGAAACTCCACAATGTTAAAAATGAAATGAAGCTTCCCTGGGTGAAACAGACTGGAGCTACAAAGACACAGAGATGGGGTTTTAAATGCCGCATTAGGATGAGCACACACAGGCCAAACTAGGCCTTCTCACTGCACTGAGAGGTGTTTCCTAATAGGCTCTGACTTACCTTCTGACTCTTCCAAGAGCAGCTTTGTTCCCTACTGAAAAGCCACCCCGGCCTCCAGCTTTACATCATTTAGGAAAGCTTCCAGTTACCTGCCTGCCTCCAAGATTACACAGGATTCACACAAACTTCCCTGTCTCCTCCCTACCTCCTCTGCCGCCCAGGGACGGCGCCGGGCACACCAATCAAAGCAGCAGATGGAGGATCTGGACGCTCACTAAGAGGGGAACCATGGGAGCCACTGAAGATTCCACATCCTATGAACTCCTGGAGGACAGGAGTCTAAGTCCAGTCTTCATCCTCATCCCTATCGTGTCTGCTGCTGTCTTCCACAAACCTGAGCAGCTTTCAGTAAATGAACTTGCAGCTACTAAAGATTCAGAAGTCAAGGGTTTCATCGCGTCTTAGGAGAAAGACGCCGTGCATCGTGCTAATGAACATCAGTACCTTGCACAGGAGTACGGTCTGGGTTGCAGCTTAGGAAGATGCTCTAGAAGAAAATAATAAGCAGTTATTAATTCATTTCTACTGAAAACAAATTATATGCGAAGGGTAAAAATTCAAGGTCTGAATTTGATTCCTGTTTTCTCTTATTTGGAATATTCAAAACAGCATGTTTTAGTTTTAAATCATATTTTACAGCACACATTTACTTATTTTAGAGTAAATTCACTGTGTCTAAGTAAAATATTACTAAATATTTTTTCTAATTCTTAAAGACCAGACATACCACATTTCCTCACTCTGAACTCAGTATGTCTACCTAAAGGGGGGTTTTTGTTTTTTTTTTTCACCCTGAAGGATGAGAAGAACAGGATCCACGAATGTGCTTCATAATCAGGGAAAAGTACACCCTGTGTGTGCACCTGTGTGTGTACAAACACATTTCTGGGGCACAATGTCCAGAGTTTTCGGATTATTAAGATAATGACCCAAAAAAAGATAAAAGACCACTATTTTAAGGGCTATGGAAAATGCTCAGGCTTGAAATATTTTTCTTTTTTATATTAATACGGCAGTAACAAAAATGGGAGTGTAACAGTGGAATATAATCAAATGATCCAGAAACCAAGTGGTTTCCAGACACATAGGTACACTTTTAAAAGAAGATTAAGAAGTGTCAATATTTGAATACCTAACTGTCCACTAACAGACTGGACATTGTGTTCAGTACGTTATAGACGGTTATTTCCCCAAAATTTGGAAAGACCTTTCTAAGATATCTTACAGTCAGAATATCAGAATAAGGTTTAATAGAGGGCTTGACTTAATACTAACCTTTAAATATATTAAGTTTTCTGACAAAATTAGAAAATAACTAAAAATTTTATAAGTCTTTTTTTTTACATTATCTATGTAATAAGTGATATATACAAGTTTAAAAAAGTAACAGGAAATTTGTAAAAAGGACTGAAACACATTTTCCGTGATGAACAGCTTTACGAGACTTCCTAGAACTGCCCTACACACATTCTGATGGGTCACCAACCCCTCATTAGCTCAAGACTGGACCGATGAGGGTGAGAACGTTCATTTGAGAGGGAAATAGGAAGAGCGGCCTCACCATCCTGAGGAGGAGGAAGGAAAATACTAATAAATAAAAAGGAAAAGCAAACAGGGCCCGACTTGTAAAGGAGAGGGCCCCCTCCTGTCCTGGGCATCAAAAGGGACCTTGCTGGCCAGCGTCCATGTTCTCCTGTCACCCAAGACTGATGCAAGTCCCAAACATTTCACTGCTTATCTCGATAGGAAAACAGATGAGATGATGAAACTACAAGCACAGGAAATAATAAAGGTTTTAAAATCCTATAAAATTCTTATAGGCACTGTCCCTGGTAAATGTCTCCAGTTCCTGCCACTCCTCTGCGGGAGTATGAGGCCCAGGAGAAACAATCTGGACAAAAACCAGGGCAGCCTTACACTCGGACGTTTTGTGAACGGTCCCTCACAAGCCTAACCCCCAGAGGCACAGTGAGTAAGGCCCCACGTCTGTACTGGTCCAACATGAGGAGCCCCCTTTGGCTCTTCAAAAACCCTAAATCTCAACTTGCCAGGATGGGGCATTTCTGTGTCTGCACACAGAGCGCGTGCTTTATCAAACTCCATCAATAATCATTATCTTTGAAAAAGATAGTTTTTTCCTTGGGAAGCTCGTTTTTAAATAAAATTTGACCAGATGCTTTCTGAAAAACAGAATTAAAACTGGCTGTATTAAGAGAGCAAGTGACAGTGGCAACGTAGGAAAGAAAATTTTTTTTAATGTAAACGCTTGGAAGAGAGATTCTTTAACTTCAAGGCAGTTCAGATGTCCAGGCGCCCTGGGACAAACGGGAAGACCACTTACAGACCAGTCACTGAGCTGTGCTCCCAGGCGCCTGCAGGTAACTCAAAGGCGCTCTTCCCCGGAGAGGCCGCCCCCGCACCACTCACCGAGCAGGAGGCCGAGCGGGGGCCGGCAGGACGGGAAGGCCCGCAGGAGGCCCAGCACGCAGGCACGGGCGTCCCTGACGAACCGGTTGTAGTCGGGCGCCCCCTGCCGGCTGCACAGCTCCTGCAGCCGCCGCCTTTCCGCGCCGTCGCCGGTGTGGTCCACGAGCGCTCGCAGAAACGCCTGTGGCAGGGGCAAAGGAAGGCCTGTAACTACGCATCGTTACCCCAGGCCACGATGCCTGTCCTCGTCTTAGCTGACCACTGCCACCTACAGTTACTGGACAACTGCTGAGTGCCGCTCCTCTGACAGGCACTGGGCACAAGATGATGCCCAACCTGCCCATCGGGGTTCGCAGGCTGGCGAGACCAACGAAGGCACGAAGTCATTAGCGGGGACAGGCCAGCGACCCAAGAGGGGCCCACGGATGTCAGGGGCTTCTGAGGCCAGGGGCTTCCGGAACGAAGGCTGAGC